TGTTTCTACCCGAATGACTTTTTGCACGCTTCACAGATGCACGCGCGTTCTAGACAACAAAGGGATACATTGCGCGTACACATCTGCCGTAGCATCATAGATAAGTACTTTTATCTCCAAGGCAGCATCCGGTCGAAGGCACCGGCGAGGCATCGCGCAGTTGGTCAAAGAAAAACTTCCGCGCGGAGTCTCGCGGAGATGATCATAATTGACGAGGCAGACACGGCAAGGAAAGAAGAGTAGTATTCCGCTCATTCGGCGATGTTCCTTTGATCAATCGGACGGCGGGAAACGTGACGTAAGATCTGCCGGACCATCCATGCGGCTGCGAACGGAAACCACCTCGAAGTTCGTAGCCGTGGCGGATTGGCTGATGCGTTTGAAGTCTTCTCGAGAGGGAAGCTTCCTCTTATCGTCATGCCGGTCGTATAACTGCAGGCGGGGGTCGAACGTATACCCCGAAACCGAGCGTTTTCACATGGCTGGCTTCGAAACATTTCAATTACTTATGCCATGCCAGCTCTCTCTCTCTCTCTCTCTCTCTCTCTCTCTCTCTCTCTCTCTCTCTCTCTCTCTCTTGCGCGCGCGCGCGCGAGCACGGTTTCCTTCCATTTTCCCGTTTCTCTCCATTAGGCGAGTGACTTAGCGGCGACGTCCGCCAGCCTTTTCGCAGTTCACCTAGTAAGGAACCTTAGAACCTTACGGATTTCGATATATAGACAAATCGTTTGAGTTACCGCTCGACGTATTCGCGCGGTCTTTCGAATCCGCGGAAGATTAAACGCCCCTACACGCGATGTTAGTTCATACGTATGAAGTCGTGTACTGATATCAACTCTTAAGCGACTCGTCATGTAAATGGCATCGAAAGTCGCTCGTCCGCGAAACGTTCGTGGCTTTGGTTTATCTGATGGCACTTCAACACGCACGCATTAATTCGCGTTTCATCTTCCGCGATGTAAAATGTGCAAAATCGCAACGCCTAGTAAACTGTGCGTAATGTCGGAGAAACGGGATTCTTTGGCGAATTTCTATTTTGACCTTTTTGGTATCGCGCAACTCCTTCCAATCGGGACCATTCGCGATAAACGCTTTGTTCTCTGAAATGTATACGGTGTTTAAGTAAAATTGTTATTTATTTTGACAATTATGTCGTATAAGTGGACTCGTTGTCGAAATGGTTTTCAGGCCACTCAACGCTTTCGACCTCGCACTTGTTGCATATAGGAAAGTGCCACTCGCGCAAATCAACGCGCGATATTATCCGAAACGTGTTGAAAGCGATTTTGAAGCGGTCATCTCGCGCTCGACTACGCTCACCGGAGATAGAGTTTTATATCACTGTCGGGGGCCGCGAAATGCACGGGTAACAGTTTGCGCGGATAAGCTGTTTAACCGCGAAGCTGTATTGCCAGTAAAACTCGCGTATCTCTCCTGCCCGCGATTTTCCGTGTCAGTTACCTTTTCTCTTAGCCGTCGAAGTGTTCTCCACGATAAAGCGCGATCGTGTCGATCCGTTCGTGAGCCGTTTCTCTTAGAGAATCTCTCCTTCGCGCGAGCTAAGCACTTCCAGGTGTCCATCCGCTTCGAAAGTCACAGCTTCCGGAGATAATCTCTCTCTCTCTCTCTCTCTCGTTCATGTGAGCGCCAGCGGAAATCACTGCGACTACATTATGCGTTCGAGTACCTATGTAGTCCCCGCGTTCTTATCTCCTTGCCGCTCCGAGAAACTATCCGTGTATCAAGCTTACCGAATATTCATACTTGGGCTCACCGAGAATTACAATTTAAGCGCTATCGGGGCGCGCTACGCTTCCGTATCGCAATTTTCAAACTTTCCCCCGTCCGCGTAAATCTTCATGGGACAGTTTTGATCGATTTTCACGGATTCTCCAGCCACGAGGAAAGTTCAGCCTCGGTCTTTAGCGGCGCTTCTTCTTCTTTCTTCGCGTCCGCTCGCCTCGAAAAATACGAGACGGTTTTATTATTCGCCGCCGGTGATTCTTGTTTCTACGCGAGCTTCATTCGCCCTCCTTTTGTCCATACCGCGGGTCGCTCGCGCTAAAGCGGAACGCCGAAATAAATGGCCGGGGAATTATTCACTTTGCGAATCTTGGTGAGTGGCTGCAGGGAGTGGGACCGAGATAAGATACGACTTCATTTCCGCCTCGCGGCCGCGTTACGCTCCGCGAGCATCGTTCATTTCCTACGTTCAACGTCGGGGAATAACTGCACGGTGTGTCAGGGCGCGTCGAAGTTAATCTTTCAACATCTCGAGAAGACGCGATATCGAGTTCTCCAAGCGCATCAACAGTGCATTGCGGTTCACGTATTATATTATTAACACCTTCGCTGCGCATGTCTCGGATCCGAGTCTCGGCACGAGCTTTTACAATATGCGTGCGACTCGGATCTGTTGGCAGGATTTGAAATAAAATTGTTAATTGTGCTTTGAATCTGCCATTATTCTTCTGTTGTGAGGCACATATCAGATATTACAGTATAGAAGTACATTTTTGAATTTATATTCTACAAAAATGTCCTGCAACGCCGTCTTTCTATCCTAATGGCACAGTGCGTTTGCCCAATATTTGTCTATATTACTCAATATTGGATATGGTGAAAGTGCTTTGGCCAATATTTCCCAAAGTAAAGCCAATATTGGCCGTGAAATAAATGCAAACGTTGCACGATAATTATATTGGATTTATATTGGAAGCCAAGGTTTAACAACGTAATGTGAATATCGAACCAATACTAAACCAATATTGTTGGAATATTGGCTAAATGAAGGAAAGCGCCACCTTAAAATACTGGAACATTGTTGGGAATATTAAATTTACATAATTTCCTAATATTGCATCAACATATCGCGTCGCTAGGATAAGCTTGTGCAGTAAAATTTCAAAAAGTTCTCGTAAAGTTCTTGAAAATGCCTCGTTGTCCCACGATTACACGATTTTCAGAATAAATTGTAAAAGAAAATTGTCTCCATGTACAAATCCACGTGATACAAGTGATTACTTGAACGTTAACTGTAAAATATTGAAGTCGAAGCAAAATCTTTGACAAATTATGAAATCCTTCTCGACCAAAATTCCAGAACTGTCTTATTTCACCGAGAGAAAAGGGTACGCACCACTCGCGCGACACATTACACCGCACACGGTGCGATCCGGCGGGGGTTTTGTAAATTGGTCGCTTTGCTGGAACAAGGAGAGTGTAGCGCAAGCGATGAATTTTAAGATAGGATACGTCGCCCGTCCAGAGGCAAATCTAACCGAGTTTATTCAAATCCCTATCGTTTTACCCTTCTAACCGTAAGGCGGCAGCAATAAGTCACAGTCGCGGATCGTTTCTATGAATAATGCAATTTACGAAAAACTTTTTCCGCAGAACGAGAATAATATGGCGCGATGCAGGGAACAAGCGTAAACATATTTCCTCAACTCTTTTAAAGATCAAGATGAAAATACTTTAAATGAATGAATGTGCTGGCTGTTGAAAGAGGAGCAAGAAAGACGCTCGAAACCGTTCAAATTTCGCAGGGAATACAAGAACGGAAAGTGTCTCAATTTCCCCCGTGAATCCGTACGTTTAGGAATCATTTAACTGCGTTAGATTTGCTTCTCCCTGCATGTGAAAGTATACGAATAGTTTTTCGTAGGTTAAAATCTGCAAATTTTCGCCAATTAAATTCTAAAAATGCAGACAGATAAGGCTTAACCTTACTCCTCACTTTATTCCGATTGTACTTTAACAGAATTTTAATTAAAGGCTTAGCGAGGAGCGCCCGTAATCGCGAGACGCTTCTCAGGGTAGTTCCGGCGCCCTCATCGCCGGAAGGATAAGCGAAGCAAGCGGGTTATCAGCGGAAAATAGGACGGGAGAGGGAAGATTCACCCACTGGATATGTCCCTACAGTTGACACAGTTTCCTAACGGCAGCTTAGCCGGACGATCGATACCGACATGTCCACGTCGTGACTTTGCCTAAGATCATCGTTGTGTAGTAAGCGTTACACGCCGACACGATGTTTCAATCTTAATGGGCCATTCTCGGCGCGCAGTCATACGGTGCACCGCGTGCGACGCGACTGATGTTTGGGCTCGCCGTTAATGCGACGATAATATCGATCGCGAACGACGGCAAGTCCCTCGGAGACCGTCCCGACACATCGACTCCGACGGAGATCTACGTGCTATTGTAAGCGAACGAGAGCGATCGATCGAAACCCATTTCCGCCCGCGCGGGATGAATTGGAAGCTGAGAGAAAGAAAAGATAGCGCCGAGTTTCCCTAAAAACCGCCCGTGCTTTCGCTAAACCTTTCGGTTCTCACTGGATCGGGAGAACAATCCCACAAAGATTAATGAGATCTTCGACATATCTTCTCTTCTCGCTATGATATTAAACATCCTGTATGAGACGAAGGGGTCTTTTCATATTTACTTTCAGAATCGAGAAAGTAAATCGAAGGATATTATTCGTATACTTGGCTCGCATGTAAGTTATTAATATAACCGGTTTCCGCTTCTCGGGAAGGAACGGTTTACGAACGCGTCCAATTCCTTTAAATTTTACGCATACATTTTGATGAGGCAAAGGAATCCCGAGAGCACGATATTTCCCGAAATCCAAGTACTCCTAAATAAACCACGCGTTTTAACTTCAACCCGAAAAATAAATTCTAGGCAGCGAGACGACAGCCAGCCCGACGGTGGCATTTTCATTTGTAAATGTCGTCGCTTCCCCCTTAATGAAAATTTCGGAAACCTTTCTTCCGAAGCAATGGCGCGCGTGCGAAATTGGCGAGCTCAATTTCTACGGGAGGCATCGCAGATCACGCGAGGTAGGACACAAGTCCGCGAGTCGTCGCGTAACCAACGAGAAGTGTTGGAATATCGAGACGGGACCGCGCTGAGAGCTTGATGCCTCGCTACCTCCGCAGAGGAAGCTGTAGCGCGCCGTGAAGGAATAAGAGTGGATGGAACTGACTCACCGATACTCCGATCCCTCGCTCAGCTGTCTAACCGTAATGGGAAATTCGCTGGGTCCGTGCGCTTTCAGAAGTTCCTGCAATCGCACGAGCCCCTCGTTGTTCTCGTAGATAATGGTGAAACTCTTCCAGCCCCAGGCCTTCACCAGATCGACGTACGCCTGGAACACGGGTAATCAATCACAAGCTATGTTATTATTACAGTCGGGTTAACAGCTGCCGTAACGCTTTTACGTCTTTGGTACGATGTAATTTAACTCTCGGGCTGTCTACGTCGATCGTGATAATATGCCGTCACACGGGGGCAACAAGTGCGATGAATTAACATCTCTCGTTAAAGTGTAATAACGCGTGTAATTTTATGAGTTATTTGTGTAAAACGTAATATCTCGAGTTATAGGTGCGTGCATAATACGACTGTAAATGTTACGCTACTGCGTAATGAAAAGAAAATAACGGCGAAATTGGAGTATCAAATCTGATAGCTGAACCCGATAGTTGAATAAAGTGAAATATTTGCGAGATTGCTTGTTATTTTATTATCTTGCACAGACATAGAGTTTTGATTTAACTTTCTTTACTCGTTGGCTGGTGATATACGCAATCTGAGTAAACAAGCGGGAAGCTTATCGAAAATTATAATGTTCTCGCGATATTGCTAAATTGATTATCGTACAAATTGGTTATTATGCGATTGTTATCATCGCGCGGACGTGTATAAATTTGAGAAAGAGCTTCCATTCGTGCTAGTTGATAGAATATTCAATATTCTTGTTATAACAAGAGAGAAAGCGTAAAATATACAACAAAATTTTACAGGAGAAATTGAAAACTGGAATGTTATCAGATATTATTTTCAACCCCGAGAAAGCTTAATGTACGTATTGCGCGATTGTTTACATTACAAAAGTAACTAATATTACTTTATCATACCAACGAGTTTTCATACAACCGTTGGTATTTATTGGATGCGTAAAGCAACGATATATGCGCGTTTATGAAGGGGCGGCGTGAAAAAAATATGTAGATTTGTCAACGTAGAAACTGTACATTGCCGCGTCACAGTTAGTAATAAATTGCATATTGGGACAAAATACAACGGGACGTCGCAAGAAGAATTCACGCACAGGCATGTTTCGCGTTTCAAATTCCGTTAGAATTTCGAATTCTGACAATATTTGAGCTTTGACAATATGTTGCGTGATGACACATCGTCGGTGTTGTCTGTAAATCACAATCGAATGCGCGCTCTATAGCGCACCATTATTGCGGGACACGGAACATCGTAAAACACCATAGTTATCTACGATCAACGCTGCCATTACCGTTACATCCCCCGCCGATTTTCTTGCGGAGGACTCGTTACACCGGAATAAGTTGTTCGTTAGGCCCGGTCTACAATGAGTCGTTAGTCGTTAGTCAGAAGTCGCAACTATATGTTGATCCTTTTCCTTTCTGGGTGGAAGAAAAAGGACCGACATATAGTTCCGACTTTTGACTAACGACTAACTTATTGTAGACCGAGCCTTAGACATCGTCCTCGAAAGCTGTTACTGTCGCAACGACGTCTCTGTGGTCACTTTCACATCATATTAACGGTTCTATTAATCTTCCCTCAAGCGATTATCCAAACGTGCTAAATTTATAATCAGGCTTTTTAGTCGACATTAACCGGCCAGTGTTTTAATACAGAAAATTTTTTGCGAGAAACATTACCTCGGCCAGGGTTTGAACCTGGACTTCCCTTCTCTCTAGGCGGGCGTCTCACCAATTCGACCACTGAGGCATTTTTCGCAATAAATTTTCTGTATTAAAACACTGGCAACTTAAAGAGATTTCTATGCTAAATTTATTACTCATCAGTTAGTGTGTCGACTTTTTAGAAATAATCGCTAAAGTCATCTGGGAAAAGCTTATTGTAAACGCCTGTAAAAATACAAATTTAACGTGCAATTTTAATGATTTCAAAAGAGAATTTTTTCTTGTATTTTTCATTGAATATAATTTCTGGCTGGGGATGAGATAAACTTTTACAACAAAGCACAACTGCCTTTCTGCCTTGCAACAGCCTTTTGCGGCATAATTCCTACGAAACGTTGTATTATGATGCGACAGAGTGTCTTTTGTGAGAGAATAGAGCCCGTAAGAGTCTAGTTTTGCCACGCGGCGGTTCCTCCACAGTCCAGGCTTTTAACTGGGGAAACAAGTATCATACAGTCACGACGGTCTTCAGTGACCGAATTGAAGACGAGCTGGAGGTATTTTCGCGAGAATCCGCATCGCAGCCGCGCTTTTTCCAATAATCTAAATTCGCCATGAAAGAGAGAATGTATATTTTTCAATAAGAAATCTTTTTGTTGTGGTTCCGCGTACCATCGTCGATCTCCCTTTTTACTTTGTCCTCCTTTGCAAATACGCGCATTTCAAGACTTTGTGCCACCGGCCATTTCGAGACTTCCTTCGCCGTACTCTTGGCGAAAGAACCAAATATCCAGTCGCACAATACCCGCCTGGAATAAGCTCCCGTCGTTAGGATTATAATACGTGATGTTACATGCTCTAGACAGCCGCCCTGATTTCTACCTTGGCAAATAAAATCATTTCGCGAATTTCGTCAGTTGATTTCCGTGCATTCGACCTTTTTTTTATCAGTTATTCTTTTATCATAAAATATCTATTCTACGGTCGGATTTTGTTTCAGCACGAAAACTTGCGTCAGAAATCATTGTCGCATTTCAATCAACAAAACCTCGCAGGCCTGTGCAATTGAGCTATTCTTGCCGCTCTGTCATATTTTTACACGACGTTCGTGCCGCATTTTGCCTACGTGCAACTGAAGGTGCGAAAATCGAATGTACTAAATGTACAACATTAATATGAGCTGATTACTCCCAAAGTGTTGTAGCTCCAACTTGGGAGCGCAGTTAAGTAGGATGCGAGTAGAAATTAGTGCGATGTACCTACTTTGGAGAGTAAGATATTCTAAACTTATCTTATTCCACTTCCCAAAATCAGCTCACCCGTGAAATTTATTACGAGTGCTACACGCGTGCGAAACTGCGATTTTGCGGGTAGCAACTTACCGTGTAGAGCGTAGGATCGCTGCGCGGTTTTATTCACGTAGTCGCTCGTTATTTTACGCGGATACGAATTCATATAAAAAAGTAACATGCAGATTTTTCAACGATACCATCGCGCACCATTTTCGGTCATTTTTTTTTTAACTGTTAACAGAGACGGTGACGCGGTTATCGATCCCTTCCCACGTTACTTGTCCATTTGCGATGCTAACAGGCTCGTATTGTCACGGAGGACGCGGACAACGGTTGCCGGCAAATTGCCAGGTCGCACTCATTAATAATATGGTGATTATATACTGTAAGTTTTTTGCGGAATTGGGGATTTACTGAATTTAGCAAGTTACACCCTTAATCGAACAGGTCAGCGGCGCGCGAGTCCACTGCTCGCCTGTGATTTATCGCACGAAGTAACAGAATAAATATTTCGAGGAGCGGACTATTCGTATGTTTGGTAAAACGAAAAAAAATGGATTAGGTGACATATTTAGGGCCAGTTTCACAAACGTCAGTTAACTGTTAACCAGAGTTCTGTTAACTGTTAACAGAGAATCAATTAACCTTCGGTTAGCAGCTAACCGACGTTTGTGAAACTGGCCCTTACAGAACTACTCGGTTCAATATTACGTGTATTTCAGAGATGATATCTTCCCTCCCCCCCCCCCCCTTTCGCAAAAATGTAACATGCAGGCACAAGTTAAATTAGGTTGAACAAACAGCGTTTGTTTAAACTCGGTGCTGTAATACGATATGGAATGACGAATGTAGCTTTGGTGTAGGGTTGACTTTCTGAAATGCTAATGCCTTCACATCGCTCCTAAATGCTGCGATTGCAAGTTTGTGCTCGGTAGATACGTTCCAATAAACACACCGGCCACTGCATTCTTTCCGCCTGCAATTTGTAACTTTATCAGAATTTAAATTAAAATCTACACGCAATGCATATAATCGAAATCCATTAAAATGAATTCTATTGAAATTAAATTTAAAAAAAAACTCAGCAGCAGCCACAAAGCAGCAATTACTCCATTAAAATTTATATTAGCCGAGAATCAATTTATGGCACCTGTAGATAAAACAGTCATAATTGAAAATTTGTTTGTTTATGGATAATGGAGGTAAAGTAATAGCTTGATATAACCGAATTATATTTTACACGTTTTTTTTTACAAATTGATAAATAATTTTGCAACAAACTTGCAGACGCTGACACAAAATGGCGTTTTTTAAATATCCTCAGCGCGTGGTGCGAAATCATTGTCGATTTAATAAAACCGACGTAATTAACGAACCAATTTCTGTAATTCTCCCGGTTCTCCATCGAGTACCCAGGAAAGGGAACGTATCGGTCGGTGTTCCCGCGTTATACTGGCCGGTGGCTGTATACCCATGCATCTCCCATAATCGCGGGACTTCGTGACTTCGATCGCGACAACTCCGCCCGACGTGTCCGTCGTGTATTCGCACGTGCCGAACCGACCCCAATCGGTATCTATGAATAACGCACTACGCTCGCCACTACAGCGAACGCCAAAATCTCGCTCGCCCGTTGTGTATTTTGCGCACGGTAATGTATCGCGACCGGATCGATGTTTAAATTACATGCGGTGTAGAGCACGACGTAAATTACAGTCGGCGATGCTTGTAAAATATCCGAGCGTCTCGCGCGGCGAGGTTTGCGTGCACGATAATTTCACCAGCTTCCGACGATGATCGTCGGCTGCGATCGAATCTTGCGGTTCGTCCGGAAATAACTGCATTTTCCAAAGATATATTTCGACATTTTTACTGAGCAATGCATTCGTTCGAATATCCGCGAGCTCGTGATATATTACACATTTGCGTTTCTACGAATCAGCATTACTGCAAAGTATTGTGTATTGATTTTCATTGTAATCATTGATGCATATGTATATAAAGCTTTATCGAGAAAATTAAAGAAAATTTACTTATTTTGTTATATGATATATTTTGATAATCGGTTATAATTCATTCGGTTAAAAAATTATCTTTGCTTGTACTCTCTACACTGATAGAAAAATATCTAGTATTTGAAACTATAATTACATAGTAAAATAATTATA